CGCCACGCCCACGCCCCGGCGAAGCGGCACTGGGATGCCATACAGAAGATCCTCGGCTACCTGAAAGGGACGAGGGACCTCGGCATCACCTACCAACGGGGATCGGGGTTAGGGCTGGCCGTGTACGTAGACGCTAGCTACACCGACACGGAGGATAAGCGTTTGGTGTCAGGGTTGGCGACGTCTGTTGGACGTACCGTAGTCAGCCATGGTAGCAAGACACAGCGAATCGTGTCTTTGTCTTCGACGGAAGCCGAGTACATTGCTGCCGGGGAGAACGTCAAGGAGGCGTTGTTTGTGCGTGCTGTGCTTTCGTTTGCTGCCCCAGAGGCCAGTGGTAGCAGTATCCGGGTCCTTGAGGACAACCGGGGGGCCATAGCGTTGGTGCAGAACCCCCTGAGCTCAAGTCGCACGAAACGCATCGACGTGAGATTCCATTTCATCCGCGGTTTGTTTAGGTCGGGGGATATTTCGGTCAAGTTCGTTCCGACAACGGAGCAACACGCGGACCTCCTAACCAAGGCCCTTAGCAGGGCTAGTCTGCAGTACCACCGGCGCAAGTTGATGAATTTGCCGGAGTAGCTGTAGCAGTTTCTAGCACTTGGGAGAGGCCATGTTTTCCATGCGGGGAAAGGCGCATAACTGATGCGGTCTGTGTACCAATGGCAGGAGTAGGGGTTGTTGGGAAACCGTCGTCCGGGGGAACGTAGTTCCTCGCGTTCTTGTCTTCGCCTTGGCCTTTCTAAGAAGTGCGGCCGTTGTGATCCGCTGTGATAGCGACGGTTTTTGTGGTGGTAGGGGTTTTATCGAGGGGGTTTGCCCGGACGCCGGGATTCCCCTCGATATATTACGATGTTGGTGTTTTCTGATGTATCCAGGGGCGTTCGTGCCCCATTGATGGTTAGTCACTTGCGTGAAGAACCAGGGAGGGTGTTCGTGGGTCTGCGAACATTGGTGTTGGATACATGTGCTGAATGATTTGGTGTGACGCAAACTGGTAAGATTGCCGTTTGGTAGGGAGCACCGCGATGATTCACGGGGCCCCTCATTGCTGTGAGAGCCGCTCTTCGAGCACTCCCTCTTTCGTCCGTGTGAAGGACGGCCATCGACCTCTCGTGAAGTTAATACATCACCAAAACAGTCTCACCCGATAAACAACGGGCGTAGGCCGCAAACATCTCCCCCATCCCTGCTTCCCCTGGTACCGACCTACAGTAGGATCGAAACGAGATGACAAGAATGGAGGGGAGTGGCCGGTGAGGGAGGCCATCGGCAGCATGATGTGGGTGTCGACTTTCTCGGGCCCAGACGTTTCTTTCGCCGTGCGTGAGGTAAGCGCGCCACGCCCACGCCCCAACCGTCAGGCACTGGAGGACGATCCCGCAAATCCTCACCTATTTGAAAGGTACGAGGGACCTCGGCATCACCTACAAACGGAGATCGGGGTTAGGGCTGGCGGTGTACGTAGACCCCGGATACGCCGACGCGGCGGATAAGCGTTGGGTGTCGGTTGGCCAGAACGGTTGGGGATACTGTAATCAGCCAAGGAAAATACCAAGACGCAGAGTCTCGCGTCTTTGTCGTCCACTGGGCAGAGTACATGGCTGCCCAGTAGGGTGCGAAAGAGGCTTTGTTCGTGCATACAGTGCTTTCGTTTGTTGCCCCTGAAACCAGTGGCAGCAGCATCCAGGTCCTTGAGGACAACCAGGGGGCTATGGTTTCGGTACAGAACCCCGTCAGCGCCGCTCGCAGCAAGCACAATGACGTGAGGTTCCATTTCATTTGCAGGTTGATCAGGTCGGGAGACATTTCGATCAAGTTCGTCCCGACAACGGAGAAACACGTGGACCTCCTCACCATCACTCTTCATAGGAGCAGTCTGCAGTACCACCTGCGCAAGTCGATGAGTTCAGTAGCTGTAGCATGTTTAGCACTTGGGAAAGGTCATGTGTATGCCACGCGAGGAAAGGAGGTGTCATCTCGCACTACGGTCACGGTCTGGGTGCCGATGGTAGGAGTAGGGGGTGTTGGGAGACTTCGTCCGGGGAAAAGTAGTTCATCGCGATCTCTGGTATTCTTGTCTTGACCTTGGCCTGTCTAGTAAGTGCGGCTGTTGCAAGCCGCTGTCATAGCGACGTTTTTCTCGTTGGATGGGGTTCAGGGTTTGTCTAGGGGTTTTGCCCGGGTCCCGGGTTTGTTTCCTCTCGACCATCGTATTGCCGCTTTGTTCGGGGTCTTTACTTCCCAGCTGATGGTTAGTCACTTGTGTGAAGAACCACGGACGATGTTCGTGGGTTTACGGATATGTCTGGATCTGTCTGTCAAACGAGATTGTGTGACAGAGATGGTACTTAAAGACTACCCGATGTGGTGGTAGGGGGGGCGTGATGCTACAAGGGGATCCTTCTGACTTGGTGTGCAGCATGCAGCAGCACTCACTCTTGACGCCGCGCCCTGTCTCATCTCCTGAAGTTATAACAGCACTCAAACAAGTATACTCGATGAGTGCGCGGTCAGGCCGTAAAACATGAACGACTGTAGAACAAGCCTTGAAAGGTGGTTTGATACCGAAGGAGAGCGATTGAGATTACAGTTTTCCCTTTGATTACTTCATTTGTTCGTAGGCGTACGAATGAATGCCAATACAAGGAGACCAAAATCCTAGACAGGGTGGGACCTGCAGAGCGCAGACGCACCAAAAAAGAGGATCGGAAGGAATCAACAAATGGTACATTGATCATTCCGACCTTGGCGTGCGGGGGACAGCTTCCGGGTTCTTGCCGCCGTCTTTACCACACGATGGGTGCTTCGTGCATGTTGGATGACCACATTCCTGGTGGCGACGCCGACCCTACTTCGCGTGCTGTGCACAGAACCCCGGCTTCTGGCTGCTGGCCTTGCCAAATGACGGCCGCTTCGTGCACCCCGAATGGCCACACCTGTTGACGAAGACAGGGACCATGCCCTGCTGGCTGTGCTGAGAGCAGAACTCCGGCTTCTTGCTGCCGTCGTCACCGTATGATGGCTGATTCGTGCATCCCGCATGGCCACACTTGTTTCTGACAACGTCATCCATACCCTGCTGCCTGTGGTGTGCACAACTCCGGCTTCTTGCTGCCGTCCTTGCCAAATGACGGCCGCTTAGTACAACCCGGATGACCGCACCTCCTGTTGACGATGTTGAACATGCCCTCCCTGCCTGTGCTGAGAGCAGAACTCCGGCTTCTTGCTGCCGTCTCTATCAAGCGATGCCCCCTTCACGCACCCCGCATGGCCACACTTTTTTCTGACGACGTCAACCATACCCTGTTGCCTGTGCTGAGAGCAGAACTCCGGCTTTGTGCTGCCGTCCTTGCCAAATGACGGCTGCTTCATACATCCTGGATGGCCGCACCTCCTGGTGACGATATCGACCATGCCATGCTGTCTGTCCTGAGAGCAGAACTCCGGCTTCTTGCTGCCGTCATCACCATACGACGGCCGATTCCATCAATCTGGATGGCGGCACCTCTTCTTGGCGGTATTGACCATACCCTCCTGACTGTGCTGGGCGCAGAACTCTGGCCTCTTGCTGCCGTCTTCACCATGTGACGGGCGCTTCATGCAACTTGGATGGCCGCACCGCTTGCTGACGGGGTTGATCATTCATGGCTTGGCATGCTTTGATTAACAACAACGTCGTCATAGGAAGGTGTGGCAATCCTGGGTGCATGAAGGCGGCATCATATGGTAAAGACGGCAGCAAGAACCCAGAGTTCTGCTCTCAGCACAGCCAGCAGGGCATGGTCCCTGTCTTCGTCAACAGGTGCGGCCATCCGGGTTGGACGAAGCGGCCGTCATTTGGCAAGGACGGTAGCCAGAAGCCGGAGTTCTATGCACAGCACGCGAAGTAGAGTGTGGTCGGTATCGTCAACAGGAAGTGTGGTCACCCAACATGCACGAAGCACCCATCGTATGGTAAAGACGGCGGCAAGAACCCGGAGTCTGTTCCCAGCACCCCGAGGTCGGAATGATCAATGTACCATTTGTTGATTCCATCCGATCCGTTTTTTCGTGCGCCTGCGCTCTGCAGGTTCCCTCCCTGTCTAGGATTTTGGTCTCTTTGTATTGGCATTCATTCGTACGCCTACGAACAAATGAAGTAATCAAAGGGAAAACTGTAACCTCAACCGCTCTCCTACTTGTCTCAAATCCCCTTCAAGGCGTATTCAACCGCCGTTAAGGCCTGACCGCGCACTCATCGAGTATACTTGTTTGAGTGCTGCATTAACTTCAGGAGATGAGACAGCGCCCCTACCAAGGCGCGGCGTCAAGAGTGAGTGCTGCTGCATGCAGCACACCAAGTCAGAAGGATCCCCTTGTAGCATCACGCCCCCCCTACCACCACCTAGGGTAGTCTTTAAGTACCATCTCTGTCACACAATCTCGTTTGACAGAACATATCCAGCCATAACCGTAAACCCACGAACACCGTTGCAGTGCATTAGGGAACCTCTGCATTAGGGACCGTTTCCCAGAAAAAAGCAAGGGGAACATCTGCACCAGGGAACCTCACCGCCCCCATCGTTGGAGAACCGCTGCGTTAGGGGACCTCAACCTAAAGTTACCAGGGGAACCCTCCACAAATGGGGATACGATTTCGTATTCAACAGCCACTGCGTAAGGGAACTTCTGCATCAGGGAACCTCAACCTCGAATTGCCAGGGAAACCCCACACAAATGAGGATACGATTTCGTATTCAACAGTCACTGCGTTAGGGAACCTCACCCCAGAGTTGGCAGCGCGATAGGGTCTAGGGTTTATTTAGGGCGTGACCAAACGTTACCCATTTACAGCATGTGAGAATCATTGCATTCAGCAATCACAGCTGCATCTACTTACTACACACATCCCTAATGCATATTTTCCCTTACGCAGTGGCTGTTAAATACGACATCGTATCCCCCATTTGTGTGGGGTTCCCCTGGCAGTTCAAGGTTGAGGTTCCCTGATGCAGAAGTTCCCTTACGCAGTGGCTGTTGAATACGAAATCGTATCCCCATTTGTGGAGGGTTCCCCTGGTAACTTTAGGTTGAGGTCCCCTAACGCAGCGGTTCTCCAACGATGGGGGCAGTGAGGTTCCCTGGTGCAGAGGTTTTCCTTGGTTTTTTCTGGGAAACGGTCCCCTAATGCAGAGGTTCCCTAATGCATTGCACCGTCCCTGGGACCATCAGCTGGGAACCTCTGCACCAGGTGGGAATTAAAGACCCCGAAACATCAAAAAAGCGGCAATACGATGGTCGAGAGGAAACAAACCCTGGGCCCCCAACCCTGGACGCCATCCAACGAGAAAAACGTCGCTATGACAGCGGCTTGCAACAGCCGCACTTACTAGACAGGCCAAGGTCAAGACAAGAATACCAGAGATCGCGATGAACTACTTTTCCCCGGACGAAGGTCTCCCAACGCCCCCTACTCCTACCATCGGCACACAGACCGTGACCGTAGTGCGAGATGACACCTCCTTTCCTCGCGTGGCATACACATGGCCTTTCCCAAGTGCTAAACATGCTACAGCTACTGAACTCATCGACTTGCGCCGGTGGTACTGCAGACTGCTCCTATGAAGAGTGATGGTGAGGAGGTCCGCGTGTTTCTCCGTTGTCGGGACGAACTTGATCGAAATGTCTCCCGACCTGAACAACCTGCAAATGAAACGGTACTTCACGTCAATGTGCTTGCTGCGAGCTGCGCTGACGGGGTTCTGTACCGAAACCATAGCCCCCCTCGGTTGTCCTCAAGGACCTGGATGCTGCTGCCACTGGTTTCAGGGGCAACAAACGA